CTACAGTAGAGAACAAAAGCATGGATATGGTAGTTAAATAGGTAAATACATGACGATGGTGGTGTTCGTTTTTGGTATCAGAAGATAATACAACTATATAGCAGAACCATGACCCTTAGCAGCAGCAAGCAAGGTATGAGTTATGCTTTCTCTTCATGTCATGTTCAAAAGATGGACCTAGTCTTCATTTTATCTGTTACCTTGTGTGGTTAGCTTGCCTCTAGGATGATTGCATTTTTGGGATGCTAAGATATGTATTCACATATTTCTTGTTGCGATCGATTTTTCATGAGTCATGACATTTGATCTTTAAGTAAAAGAATTCCTGGTGTAACTTGAATTAAGATTTTAGAAGTACAGGCTTACAGAGTGATTATTTATCCTGAATACCAATTCCTAGCTCCCATGCTTAATAAGGATTCATACAGCCGACCTCAACTAGCTTGAGGTTGAGGTGTTGTTTTTGTTATGTAGCTTCTTACAATTTAGTTACTTGTCATATTCTTCCGCTGGAACGAGGAATTTTTTATATCTGTTCCCCTCCTTGAGATACAATTATCACTTAGTACTGCTTGGCATCTTTCAAAGAGCTGGTCATGCTACTTGTTCCATTTTCCAAAATGCTTCAACAGTCATATGATACCCATATGTATCTACTCCTCTATATGAAACTGCAGGAGAAGTCCCATTTCGATTGCTGCAGCAGTTATCTACATAGTCACCCAGCTTTCGGATGAGAAGAAGCCAGTTAAAGGTAATGAAAATGTTATTATTCTCTTTCTTTTGACATGAATGCTTAGACACCAAATTCCCTCCTTTATAGGAATTGCATTAGTGCAACGAGCTTTCCCCCGTATTTCTAGTCATGAACCTCATACCCTATACCATTTTTATACTGCTAGATTAGCCCACGCCTCTAAAATTGCATGATGTTTCCTACGACGATTTTGAATTGGAAGTCTTTGTCCTGGGGGATGATGAGTTACATTGGAGGTTAAACACCACTCATATTACTGCTAATTGTTGTTATCTGAAGCATCTGCATATTGAATATCCGACATGTCATGTAAAGAACTGTATGAATGCAGATGTGTCACTTGCAACTGGAGTTGCTGAAGGTACGATCCGGAATTCATTCAAGGATCTATACCCACATCTCTCAAAGATAATACCAAATTGGTATGCACAGGGTCAGGACCTAAAAAACCTCAGCAGTCCTTAATGAAGCTAAGCTAACCATGTCAACAAGTGACAACTTTTTCCAAAAATGCCTTCAAGAATGTTGTGTATCGGAGGACCCTTCGATGAAATTAACAGGAGGGGAAGCTTCTTTTACCCCAAGATGTGGGCTAATACACATTCAATTATCAAACAGTTCTAACTTAGGATAGATCTTCAAGTTAAGATTACAAGTTGTAAATGTTTCTTTTTCCTTAAAGTTGATACTCTTTCTTCATTAACATGAAAATGTAGTTTCCAAATTTAACTTCATTCATCCTCTTTTAAGGATCTTATGAATTTGTCGACTCGAGTTTATGTTATCTTGTTTTTATTTTATATAAATTATCACATTTGAATTAATTTTACAAAATATTTATTACCTCCCACTTGCACCATCAATTGGTGGTGGCCTTAGTAGAAGACAACCAATAGTTAATATAGTACAAGATATTGTATTTTGAGGTTGAGTCAAATCAAACTTAGCAGGGATCCAATCCACACATTTATTTCTCCGCGTGTAAGACATGTGAAGAACCTCATATCAATGGTTTAAGATATATATATAATCATATTAGCTTATATATAAGCCAACAACAAAAAAGAATAACAGTGCAATTAAATGTACAATATGTTATGTGTAACACCTCGAATCTCTAGACGAAAAAATTCTAGTTTTTAGAAAAACTGGTGCCAGTATTAACGAACCACCCACGGACTGTAAGTAGGATCACAAACTGTAGGTGAGGTTCTTTCGTTAAAGCCCGAATCTGTATAGTCTCTGGTCCCGCGCACGATCAACCAGTACGGTCCGTGGTTGGAACTACGGACCGTAGGTGAGGGTCAACAACTACTTAGAGGGGAAATTGGTGTTGGGTGAACATCAAACGGTCATAATTCATAGCACAAAAGGATTAGGTGGCCATGACCTATCAAATGAAAGATAATTGGATCTTCTTTCCAACGTCACTAAGTTTGCTAAAATCACATCTCTGAATAAAAACTTATACTCGTTTTTAATGAAACCCTGACGGGCAGACTTGACCGACGTCCTCTACCTATGGTTGGTAGGTCAACCCACGAATTGTAGGTCCCTCCGTGGGTGGCCTTCGTCAGAATTAAGTCAGGGTCGTTTTGATAGTTTTTCCTATGCATTTGACACTTAAACTACGTCTGATCTCTAAATTACATAGTTTTGATCAGCGTAAGCCTAGTAACTTAGTCAAATCTTTCCCTAAGCGATTCATTCACCAAAAAAATCATCAAACTCAGAACAGAAGTGGAGAAAAGAGGCGACCGAACCCTTCCAAGAATGCAACAAATTTTCTTCAGTATCACCCTCACATGTCTAATGCTTATATCAATGACTTAGTTTAATTAATTGAAGACTACAACGATAATTTATGTAGAGAGGGAAATTAGGTAATTGATTGAAGGTTATAACAATAATCTATGGTGGCTATTTTCAAAAGAATTTGACTATAAATGCAATTCAAAATTAGGCTATTATAAGTCAACAACAAAAAAATTAATACTACAGTACTTAATTGCACAATATGTTATGTGAGTTGTACTATTATATTTTATTCATATTTACCTTTATTTTACTTTATCAATATTTAGAAATCAATTTTTATTATGTTAGATGAACCATATTTATAGAAAAGAGATTTAATTATCATCTTTATTTCCTCAAATTATTTTTTGAATGAGTGTCAACTGTCAAATGTCTAATATTGATATCAATGATTTAGTTTAATTAATTGATGGCTATAACAATAATTTATGTAGAGTGAAAATATAGGCAACTAATTGAGGGTTATAACAATAATTTATTTAGAGTGAAAAAATAGGCAATTATTGAGGGCTATAACAATAACCAATGGTGACTTTTTTTTTTTAAAAAAAAGAAATTGGCTACAATTCCAATTCAAAATTAGGCCAAAAAAATATGTTTTTCATTTACTTTTACCTCAAAAGGACAAATATTTCCTCCGAACTATTGTAAATTATATGTAGATATCCTCTGTCATATTTTTGGGACATTGGTGTTTCTTCCGTTAAAAAATTAGAGCATATATCCTTCACTTTAACAGAAGACTAAATAAGGACTCGTGACATAATTTTATCCGTCGGTCCTATATTAATAAATGTCGGCGATAGATAAGAGTATGGTACATGTATGTCCGTTAGTATAAAATGTATATTTGCTCTAGTTTTTAGACGACATGTATCTACATATACCATCTACGATAATTCGGGATATAAATATCATTTTTCCCTTAAATTAATAGACTTCTAAACAATAAACATTGAATCTAATTGTAGAAAGTTGTTTCGTATTCCCTCATTTATTGAAAGTTTCAATTTTTAGTTGTTACCTATAATTTGTTTGATTTATTGAAAGTTTTAATTTTTAGTTGTTACCTATAATTAGTTTGATTAAAATGTTTAATTCCTCTCATCTTCCATAATAGTAGACATAATACATAAATATGTCCTTTAACTTGACTTTAAATCATATTTATGTCCTTCAACTTTTGGTGTGCACAAATAGACACTTAAACTTGTACAAAGTTGAACAAATAGACACACATGTCTTACATGTCATCCTACATGTCATTTTTTGTCCTACGTGGTGTTCTACGTGTATTGTGTCATGTAGGACTCATGTATTTATTTATTTAAAAGTTGAATAGTTAAAGTGCCTATTTGTGCTTATTGAAAGTTGGAGGTCAAAGTTAAAATTTGAAGCTAAGTTTAGGGTCCAATGTATGTATTATGCCAATATAATATCATGTTTTTTCATATTCTTTATAAAATTCTACAAATTTGAACCGAAAAAGTTATATTATTCAATCACGTGGTATAATTACTTAGTGCACTTTTTTTCGTTTTTTAATGGAAAAATGCACAAGTAGCCCTCAATCTAAATCTCATAGACACACTTATATTATACTAAGGTCCTATTACCCCTGAATTTATATGATAAGTAATTTTCTACTCTTTTTCGGCCTACGTGACACTAACTTGAAAAAAAATCAACCAGCATCGGACCCACAAAATAGTGTCACATAGGCCCGAAAAGGGGTATAAAATTATTAATGAAATAACTAGTATTATCTAAGTGTGTCTCTGAAATTTCGAACATAGATTGAGAGGATACTTGTGTATTATCACTTTTTTTAATTAATCATGAAATGCATTAAACTCATGTCGTTGAAAAAAGATTATATGTGGGGTTTTAATAGGACAAATTAAACTATATTATGCTGCAATGATTTATGATTATTCATGGTTCATTAGAGCATTAACTTTTTGTGTTAACTTGAGGTAATTCTGTATGACAACAGCCTGTTAGGTTTATCTTTTTCATTATTTTTGACTAATCAGTCTAAAATATATTCGATTTGATTTTCGGGTATAGGCAAGATTACTACCTCATATAGAAAGCGAGATAAAATAATTCCATTGGATATCAGATATCCTTATTTATCCCATTCCGTGAACCCACTGGTGTACAAAAGATTTTTTTTCAAAGCTATGTCACCATCAAAAGGACAAAAATGGCTCAAAGAAGAAAATTAATGAAAGTTTTATTTTAGGCCTCTAAAAATTTGAGACCTCTTTTAATTTGATAATATTATAAAATTTTAAACTAAACCATTCACATTTTTATATGATTAAATAAACCCGGCAATGCATTTAAATCAATTCCTTCACTTCACTGCTCATTAGCTTGTTCTTCCAAGTCAGTTGAAGCTTGAGTCGTTAAGGTTAACTTTGAACATTTGTAATTTTTTTTTAGAATAATATCTGTCCATTAAAAATTTAAACTAATTTAGACGAAGTCGTATCATGTGATACACGTTGGATGTGCCTAAATCCACATAGTAGTTTGTCCTATAATATAAGACCTACAAATTAACAGTACTAAGGACCACAGAAATAGTAATGGTCCTGCTCTGATGCACAGGCTGGAAACTCAGAACTTTGGGAGTGTTCTTTTTGTTGTTGTTTTTTTACAATGAGGAGGATGATATTTTTCTTTGGTAAACATAATTGTCATTAACAAACTTTTGGTTTTTAAATAATGACCATTGTGAAGATCGAAGAGCCTGCTCCTCAAAGCGGATCCATGATTTGAAGTTTATTATACGCATATTTTTAGTGAATTTCTTAAGAGTATAGACCAAACTTACTAGGTTTTACCGAACTCATACCTTCCATCTAGCTCGGCCTCTGCAGCAAGAACATGGGGGAAAAGTTAGTAACAATTCAATATAGGCATAATACATATATTAGATCCTAAATCTGACTTCAAATTTTAACTTTGACATCCAACTTTCATAATGCACAAACAGACACTTTAACTATCCAATTTTTAAGTAAAAATCAACACATGAGTCCTACATGACACAATACACGTAGGACAAAAAATGACATGTAGGATGACACGTAGGACACGTGTGTTTAGTTGTTCAACTTTATACAAGTTTAAGTGTCTACTTGTGCACACCCAAAGTTGAAGGACATAAATGTGATTCGAAACCAAGTTAAATGGCACAATTATGTATTATGCCTTCAATATATAGTATGATGTATTTTGAATTGTGAACACACAACACCTTTTTTTCTACATAAATCCATAGCACAGAGGATTAAGAGTATTAACTTTTTTTTATAACCACTTGTCAGTGGTGTAATAACAACAACAACAACGTATCCATTGTATTTCCACTTGTCGATGGTTTTATTAGAAAAAAAACAAAGAGAACAACTGCGTACAGGCTACAGCTATACATGTTTTGCATACATTTTTCAGCGGCCCACAAGCAAGTATGAGTATTCATGCATTATAAGAGCATCTATATATGTTTTCACTGGAAGCTGTAGATACTCATAGCAATTTCCCAATGGCTGAGAGCAACACAACAAAAAGCAATGACCAAATAAGTGTTGAAGATGCACAAGTTGCTGTGGTTATGGTGCCACTTCCAGCACAAGGCCATCTGAACCAGCTTCTCCACCTCTCGAGGCTCATCACCTCGTATAATATCCCAGTGCACTATGTTGGAGCAACCACTCATATTCGCCAGGCCAAGTTACGTGTCCATGGTTTCGACCCTGTTACTATTAGAAACCTACATTTTCACGAATTCCCTACGCCACCTTTTGAAAACCCCCCTCCAAATCCAAATGCTTCTCATAAATTTCCTGACCATATGCTCCCTTTACTTAATGCAACAATCCATTTCCGTGAGCCAGTCTGCTCTCTTGTAAACCAACTCTTAGGTGACAATCATCGGAGAGTGATTGTTATTTATGATTCCATGATGACTTGGGTAGTACAGGATGTGCCAGCAATTCCAAATGCCGAGGGCTACCGTTTTAATAGTTTCTCAGCTTTCTATATGTGTTCATCCTATTGGGAAACCAAAGGAAAACCTTCCCAACCTGAAACTGAGATATTTGACGACATTATATCAAGCGAAAACTGCGCTATCCCAGAGTTATGGGAATTGTGGAATAAACAAGGAGCCCTTGAAGGGAAAATTTGCTCTGGAGAACTTTACAATTCATCCAGAGTAATAGAAGGTTTATACCTTGATTTAGTAGCCAAAGAAATTAATGGCTTAAACCTATGGGCTATTGGTCCATTCAATCCGTTATTGTCTCAGCAAAACAAACAACATCAAACCCTGTATTGGCTTGACAAACAGGAAACAAATTCGGTAATCTATGTGTCATTTGGATCAACTACTACCTTGTCTAATGAAGAAATCGAAGAGCTCGCCATCGGGTTAGAGAAAAGCATGCAAAAGTTTATTTGGGTTCTCAGAGAGGCTGACAAAGGAGATATTTTTGCAGGTGAAGAAAGGAGAGCTCGGCTGCCGGAAGGTTATGAAGAAAGAATAAAAGGAAGAGGAATTATTGTAAGAGATTGGGCACCTCAGTTGGAAATTTTGGCACATCCTTCCACGGGTGGTTTTATGAGTCATTGCGGATGGAATTCATGCATGGAAAGCATTTCGATGGGAGTTCCTATAGCAGCCTGGCCAATGCATTCAGACCAGCCAAGGAATTCTCAGCTGATAACAAAGGTCCTGAAAACTGGCCTAACTGTGAGGCATTGGGCACGCCGGGATGAATTGGTTGCATCAGAAATAGTTGAAAATGTTGTGAGAACTTTGATGACTTCACCTGAGGGAGATGAGATGAGGAAGAGAGCATCAGAATTAAGCATTGCTGTCAAAAAATCAGTCATGGATGGGGAAGGTTACGGTGCAGAGATGAATTCTTTTATCGCACACATTACTCGATAACTTTCTCATTTGAATTGACCAATTGGTTGCACACTTCCATCTAATAGAATAAGTGATTCAACCTATGAGACTTTACCAGTACTCTATTACCATCTTAGTGGGTTCAGTGTCCACCCTACTGGCACCCCTTTATGTTGAGGATAAAAACCTTTCCTTTTGTGAGTTCTTTGTATTTTCTAATATAGAAGTGGATGTCCTCCCAAATAAATAAAATATTGGATGCTGTTTGTGTATTATATTGGATGTTGTTTGTGTATTCTTACTTGAACTTTTTGCTTGTGACCTGAATAACATAGTTTGTTCTTCCAGGACTTTTGGAGCTTCTTGTATTTAATTCTGTGACCTTGTATTTGATATTCTGCCTGACTTCTCATGTTGGTACTTTACAATATTTTCTCAACACTCATATAATACTCTTTTTTGCATCAACACATATAAGGAAGAGCAAGTTTGTAACTATACAAACTTTTAACCTTTCACAACACTTACTCAAATCTTAGGATGACAAATCAACAGTTAAAGTGAGCCATGAAGCTGTCAAAAAATCAGAAGAGTTTGACACAAGGTAGCTCTGCTTGACTAAAGTTTGCTCCATTATGTAATACTCCAAGTATATTGTCCTACGATAAAAGAATCTGAAGATAGCAGTGTTTATAAGAATCACAAAACTAATATTGATATTGTTTTGATTCTTTCACTTGAAATTAACATATATTTGATTTTTTTACAATTATGATGATGGGGATGTAAATTCAACTGAGATTACAATGACAACTGTCCAGAGCCGTATCCAGGATTTCAGAAGGATTGGTGCATTATTACGAGAAAATGCATCTACGATATAAATTTGACTAGCTTAATCTTTAAGTTCTTAAATGGAATTGTTAAATTTTAAAAATTATAGGTTCAAAATGTATAGTACTACTAGTTTTAAATTTTAATATATTCATTTGAGTTAACTATATAAAAGTTTTACGCTAAGTCTCTTAGAATTTCCAATAAAACACACATGAAAAATTAAGATTAAAGCAAAAAAAGAGAGAAAATTTAGTTGAAACGCCAAAAGTGTTACTAATAACTTCGTGAAGAGGTTTTACTCAAACTAACAAGATAAATATAAGATTTAAATTTCTATTCTCACTTAGAGAAGTGCATCAAATCATCATCGTATTATTATATGGTCACACATCTATATTTAAATATTTTTTAAAAGATATAACACTACTATATATGATCTAGAGAGGGGATTATGGGTTCACATGAGCCCATGAAACCCCCTCTAGATACGCCCCTGCTATATCTCATACTTATGTGGGTATATACTGTATTTTCTTCAAATAATATTTCTATGGCCTGCCTTTGCTGATGTTTTTGCCTCCATTTTATATAAAACTCAACCAGTTGCTGTTGTTTTTACTGATAGACAACAAAGGATTTGATTGTGACTTCTTTAAGTAATATATTTTGCAGCAATATGTCAAATAAGAGAAGTTAAAGTTTTTTCAATATCTTTTTAACTATATAGTATATGTTGTTTTTAGCAACCGGCCAGCTAATTCTAGTTGTTGGATTCGTGCATAAGACGTAATCCTTATAACATCATCTATGTTTTCACCTACATATGACTCAAGACACTCCCAGAAACTGCAGATATTCATCAAACTGCAAATTTCTAAACATTTCCCAATGGCTGAGAACTACCCCATGAAAAGCAATGGCAAAAAGGGTATTCAAGATGCACATGTGGCTGTGGTTATGGTGCCACTTCCAGCACAAGGCCATCTCAACCAGCTACTCCACCTCTCTAGGCTTATCTCCTTGTACAATATCCCAGTACACTATGTTGGAGCAACCACTTAATCCCTTCATTTTACGCAACAGCTCATCTCCGAGAACCAGTGTGCTCTCTTGTACACCAACTCTTAGACAACAATCATCAAAGAGTAATTTTTATTTTTGATTCTATGATGACTTGGGTAGTAGAGGATGTGCCAGCAATCCTAAATGCTGAGTGCTACTGTTTTAATAGTATCTCAGCTTTCCATATGTATTCGTTGTTCTGGGAAATCAAAGGAAAGCCTTTCCAAGCTGGAACAGAACTATATGAGGACATCCCATCACTCGAAAACTGCTCTACTCCAGAGATATGGGAATTGTGGAGGAAACAAGAAGCCCTCATGGGGAAAGTTAGCTCCGGAGAACTCTACAATTCATCTAGAGTAATAGAAGGTTTATACCTTGATTTAGTAGCCAAAGAAAATAATGGACTAAACCAATGGGCTCTTGGTCCATTCAATCCGTTGTTGTCTGAGCAGAACAAAAACTCAAATAAGCACCATACCCTGTATTGGCTTGACAAACAAGAAACAAACTCGGTACTACATGTGTCTTTTGGAACAACTACCTCCTTGTCGAATGAAGAAATTGAAGAACTCGCTGTTGGATTAGAGAAAAGTATGCAAAAGTTCATTTGGGTCCTCAGAGATGCTGACAAAGGAGATGTGTTTGCAGGTGAAGAAAGGATAGCTCGGTTGCCTGATGGTTATGAAAAGAGGCTAAAAGGAAGAGGAATTATTGTAAGAGACTGGGCACCTCAGTTGGAAATTCTGGCACATCCTTCCACGGGTGGTTTTATGAGTCATTGCGGATGGAATTCATGCATGGAAAGTATTTCTATGGGAGTTCCTATAGCAGCTTGGCCAATGCATTCAGACCAGCCAAGGAATTCTCAGTTAGTAACTAAGTTTCTTAAAATCGGCCTAATTGTGAGGCATTGGGCATGTCGAGATGAATTGGTTACATCAGAAATAGTTGAAAATGCTGTAAGAACTTTGATGGCTTCACCTGAGGGATATGAGATGAGGAAGAGAGCATCAAAATTAAGTAATGTTGTCAAACAATCAGTGATGGATGGGGGTGTTAACCGTGAGGAGATGGATTCTTTTATCACTCACATTACTCGATAAGTTTCCCATCTAGATTAATTTCATGTATGGTCATCGAACTAAGCATTTATTGCATGAAAGTGTGGCTTTGATGAAGTCATCAATATATGTGATGATTAGTTATCCTTACAACACATAATTTACTTATATTTTTCCTCTCCTAAATTTTGAAGAGTATATTAGCAGAACAACATACTATAACAACATGGCCAGACACTAGCTAGGCCAATATCCCTGTGAATTAAACTTGTGAGAAATGACACATGCCTCTGTTCTCCTTAACATCATAGATCCAAAATATATGTATACTGTAATATCTAGTAACAGTTACTCCATGTTTCATTTCTCTACGAGGTCCAACTTGATATATTCGTTTTTCTTACTCACCAAAGAGTCCAAGTTCAAATCTTGGCACATCTTTTTTCTTTTATTGATTTTTTCAGTCTTCTATGCGACTAGCCAAGTATTTTCAATGCTGTTGACACGAATAGTAACAAAGAGAAGGAAATGACATTCACAGAAGATGATTCAGGGTTGAATACTTCAATCCCATCAGCGAATCTAACCAAGAACCTGGAACTAAAGGAGGATCTTTATCCAGCATTGTAAGTTCTACACAATGTGCTCCATATCTATAAATTTTCCTCATATACCAAACACATCGAATACAGGATTGAACTGAATCAAACTAATACATTAACAAGTAACTATGAATGTGATTATGAATTTAAGTCTAGAAGCAGCAATTGCATTTTGTACCTGAAAAGCAGCAGGGGAGGGTGCTTGAGCTCGAGTATCCGGAGTTATGGTTGTCCTGCAATCAATTTGGCAATCTGGGAATCAATCTTTTAACTCCCTAGACACCATCTTCTCCAAGACTTCATCCATTTTCACAATTCCATGTCCATTTACTGCATTTCTTCATATCAAATCAGGAGCACAAGTACCCTTCAGGGTGGCCCAGCGGTTTAGGCTTGAGACTTCCATATTGGAGGTCTCAAGTTCGAAACCCCTTGCCAGCGAAAGTACGAAGTTTGCCTTCTGGGTGGAACTCGTCGCACCGGGCTTGCCCACTGCGGGTTACTTCTCCTCTGTGGTTTGCGAGTTATTGCATAGGAAGTGAGGGTTTTACCCTGTGCACACCGAAGGAATAGCGGCTGCGGATTTCCCTTGTCATAAAAAAATTCAGGAGCACAAGTACTACCAACACGGGTTGCGGTACAATAGTGAAAGTGTTTCACCTTAACCTAAGGTCTCAGGTTCGCGCTGTGTTTGGAGAAAATCATGTTGGGAGCGCCACCCCAAATGAACCATACAGAGCGTGATTCAAATTTAATCGAAACTCCAACCTGGGCTCGGTACACTGGGTGGGGAAAAAAAGGAACACAAGTACTCTTTTTGGTGTGTTTTTTCCTGTCAGTCATTTTGTCAAGCACCTTGAGTGCTTTGTAAAAAATCTTAGCAAACAATACAATATAACTAAACTTAACACATATTTAACTAAAGTTGTGGTATTAATAAAGCTTCCTATATAATATTAATTTCCATTTCATTACATTATATATTATATGCTACTAGACGGGATTAGGAATTTAGGATATAAAGTTTACGAATTTTAAATTTGTTATGAGCTCATAATTTATCTTAATTATTATAATTAAGTATTAATATATATTGAATAAATCATTTAATAAAAATATAGAAATTATTGAGTTTGTGTGCGTTGTAGCTATCGTTGGGTTTTAGCAAATGTAGATGGGAAAAGAAAAGAAAGAATATGAAGTGCAAATGAAAAGTCATTTCTCCATATCGACAAAAGAAGGGGAAATTGTTGTCCTTATATAAGGAAACACTTTCATTACTTCTTAAAGAGCTAAGAAGAATATGTCTCTCGTGCCGTCGTTGTTCACTCGGCTTTGTCTTTAGATTCAACATTCCGAAAAACTGTTATTTTTCTAACACACACATTTTTCCAAAAGTTGTTATTTTTTTGCAAAAGACACAAATTTCTGGATAAAACGGGTCTGAACAGATTTCTCTGAACAGACATGCTTCTTGCTGAAAATGACTATAAAAGAAAGTTAATTTTCGATTTTTCAACACTGAAATTTTTTCCTTCTCTGCATATATATTTTTTTTCTCTCAAATAAATCAAAGTGTCGATCAACTAAGTCTGTGTGACTTGTTCATATTCTGAAGTTCGCTGAAGTTAAAGAAGTTTGAGGTACCGCTATTTCTTTAACAAGATTAATTCGTTTTATCTTGAAAGATTAATCAATAACCTCGGATATAGTGATGAGATTAAATTTCTTAAGAAGATACGGTAATTTCTGTGGACTCAAATTTTATATTTTTTCTAATTCATCTTATTTATATTTCTGTTTATTAATTAACCTTATAAATACAGATTGTATAACAGTTATTATATTAGGTATATATATATATATATATATAATCCAAAATTAGTAAAAACAACTTTCAATTGAGGAAATAGATTCCCACCACTTTTCTTGGATTAAACAATTTATCATTTATATTTTTGATTTTTTCTTTTTGGAATTTCAAAATAATGTGCGCACTAAGTAATTTTTTTTTGGATAATCACTACATTACACTTCAATTCATCAAAAAATACTGAGGAGATCGATCTCGAATTATTTATTTTATTTGTACAACTACTCATATGACCATATATATAGTTAGTTTGACCAAAAAATAAGAATTATATGACATTTCAATTCAAAATATATCGAGGGAATTGATCTCGAATTATTTATTTAATTTATACCACTACTCATATGACCATATAGCTAGTTTGACAAAAAATTATATATATGTCAATTAATTTATTGGTCGATTATTTATTTATTAAAACTAAAATTAAGACTTTTTAAAAATGGAACAATTTCCACCTTTAATTTTGAGTCCTTCCCACTTGGACTTTCCAGTAATATATTATTCCCATCCAACAAAGCATATTTAAAAAATGAAATATGCGATAACTTTATCTCCATCAATTATGGGTCTGCGAAATAAATATGGGCAGAAGGTATATTTTTGCTTACAAATTCAATATTAAAATTTAATAATTTAAATTTGAATTATATATGTATGTTGATATCTCTTTTGAGGTTCGATATTTCAAAAGAGATGTTTTTTCAAATTCGATTAATTCAGATTTGTGATGTCATAAAATTTTATTTTAAAAATAAAATACTCTTTTATCAAAGGCGATTTCACATTAGGGGGTTGAATTCAAGACATTTAATTAAAGGTGAATGTGTATCAATTAACCATTCCAGCACTAATCCTTGTGATCAGTTCAATTTATATTCTCTTGATTTTAATTATTTGTTCGGTTTTGACTTGACGTGAAGTAAAGAAAATTTTTGAATTTTATGATTTTTAAACCAGCGATATTTGTAAAATGTATTAAAAAAATTTAATCTTGTAGTCTTATACAAGTCATGCATAAAGTTAAATTAATGAGTATTTAAAAAAAGAAAAAAAATATTTTTGAAATAAATTTAAAAAAAGTAAGACAAATAAATTAAAACGGCAATGTAACGTGAATACTGAGTACCATTATATTTAATTTTGATCACCATGCATGGACATGCCTTCTAGAAAATCAGCATTATATCCAAAAATAGCAAATCACTTCCAATTCAGGAAATAGGTTCCCATAACTATTGGACTTTCTTGAATATAAATAATTTTATCTTTCAATGATTGGTGTTATTGAATACTCCTATTATTTCGTTTTTTTTATTGATACTCACATTAAAGTTCGATTAGCTGATTTTAATTTACGTCGAAAAAATGTTTCCTATCAAAAATAGTCGACTCCGTAACATTTGATTAAGAATAAAGAAATACTTATCACTTTATCAGAACGACACAACCCGTATTAATACCTGGTATAATTTAGTTATTGTTCATTAAATTTATCTAACTACTCATATATGGCCATAAAGTATAGTATATAGGAAAAATAAGTCTATTCATTGCCAACTTCAATTTGATTTTTTCTTCATATACAGCATAAAATATAAAATTGAAAAAGACAAGACAGAAAAAGTTAAGTTGATAATAAGATTCTGAAGATTTATTGCTAAACTTCCAACCACTATTGAAATAGAAAATAATAATAATAATAATAATAATAATAATAATAATAATAATAATAATAATAATAGAATCTATAAATTTTAAAGCTAATCAATAAAATTTATCAATGATTTTATTTAATGACGAATTAGTGAAGAATTATTAAAAAATTAATTAGTTATACATACCTTACAACAAATTAATAATAAAGTTCATAATTAATTTCAATTTACAAATCGAAAAAATTATTCTCCCTTTAGGGTTCGATCATTTTCAATCACCTCATGGAACTGTTACACTAACTTGTACGAAAAAAAACAAAAGGCATCACGATAAAGTACGTAAAATTCGGCGATCGACATTAGAATGGAGTTATTAACAGATTGTTTTCTTGATTAGAAGTTTTGAATTTAAATTTTAATTTATAAAAATATTAAATATATAAAAAGTGTTTCTTTATCGAATAAAGCTCATACTTATAAGATATAATTAATCGAACTTAAACAAAAATATCAAATTAATTGAATTTAAACAAAAATATCGAAATAGTGATTAGTAGTACTTTTAAAAAGGTCGAATCCATTAAACAAAGACAACCAATGTTTATCAATTAGAATATTTTATTTGACACATATATTTTGACTTATTATCAAGTACATCACACATGCATGGTTTACAATATTTGCAACTTATTGAGACAAATAAAGTTCCCATCAAAAAAAATTTTACCTTTTCTTCTTCATCAACCATCATCATAATCATATTTTTAATGAGTTTAAAATTGAACAAAAAAAAAGAAATTTAATATCTTTATAAACTTTAACGATTCTGAATATGATGATATTATCGCTACTAATGTTTGCGAAGGAAAAAATCAATTTAAAGTGCTACTCATCAACTTATTTATACAAATTAAGTCACTAAGATAATCTTGAGATTAAGTAATAAAAAATGGAGTAGGGATTAATTAATCTTAATTTGAAGCATAAAAACATGCATGCACTTTTTTAGATCTTCACTTTAAAATAATGTATTAAAGTTTTAAGATATTCACAATTAGTTTCCTTCACAAATTACTCTTTTTTTTTCTTTCTAATATATGTACTATAATATCCTCTCATATGCAATTGTCTCCATCAATTTATCTTGTCTAATATTTGTTTTACTTTTTTATCCTCTTATATGTAATTGTTTCCATGTGTTTATCCAAAAGTTAGATATTTATCCTATTTTTTTTTGAATGGATATAAGAGTAAATGACGAAGAAGCTCTTTAAAGTACAATCACATAAAAAAAGCATCAATAAAGTCATCTTAACCGTAACAATATATTCAATATAATTTTACGAGCATCAACAAAAATGAAGCTATTTTTTCTGTCAAATATCGTCACTACTATAACAACATGTCAAGTTTAAATTTCGCAAATAATATTGTTTGGAGATCAATACATTATCTCTACTTTTGTAAAATAAAGACATACCATTTCTGATAGACTTCGACTAAAAATGACATAAACATTCAACCCTCAATCTCTAGGTCAAACTTATTTATATATATATATATACATATACACACACAAACACTACTAATAAATTATAATATAGAGTATTTCATCTTCAGTATGGCAACCAAATATGAAGTAGTTGTTGTTATTGTGCCATTTCCAGCACAAGGTCATCTCAATCAACTTCTTCATTTTTCATCTCTTATTTCATCTTACAAAAATATTCAAGTCCATTATGTTAGTACAAAAATTCATACTAAACAAGCAAAAATAAGAGCTCATGGTTTATTAAACCCTAGTGGTAGTACTTCTTCCAATAATATTATTCATTTTCATGAATTTTCAACACCTTTATTTCCATCACCACCACCAAACCCTAATTCAAATATCAAATTTCCTTCACATCTTCAACCTTCATTTGAATCATCGTATCATCTACGAAGCCCTGTGGCTTCACTTCTACGATCATTATCATCGATTGCACGTAGAGTTGTTGTTGTTCATGATTCTTTAATGGCTTATGTTGTTCAAGATTTCACTTCATTACCAAATGTTGAGTCTTATAACTTTCATAGTGTTTCTGCTTTTACTATCTTTTTGTTCTTATGGGAATCTATGGGAAAAACCTTTCCCTATTGAGGCTGAAATACTAGACAATCTACCATCTCTTGAAGGTTAGTTTTCTTTATTATCAATATTTTTGAATGGGTCTTATTTATAAGTTATGCATACTATAATATTTACACAATCAGATCACATCGGTTATCAGATCACATCGGTTATAATTAGGGAATTGCATGTTGTTGTTTTGTCATGAGTCGATTTTATCTAAAATGTTGAAGTTACTAGAAGTTGGACAAGTAAAGGTCTTAAGTTCGAGTCTTATTGTCATCCATTATGAGAAAAGTATTTTCATGTATTGCTTACATAAGCCCACGAATTCAAAACATGTATTGATTTAACAGTGTGCTCTCTCTAAAAACTTAAAGAAAGTTTTTAGACGAGATGGTCACACACTTCAATATATGGTATCATGTCAGACAGAGGGTCTGGAAATCGAATCTCACCGTCACCCCTGTCAAAGAGAATTTTCACGTATTTGGCCCATGGAAAAAAAATCAGGCACGCACCTGATGAGGTTGTACGTGTTGAATATACAGTTAAATAATAAATGTTACGTGTTAGCTCCGTGTAAGAACTTAAACTTTTAGATGAGAAGATCACACACTTCAACATGTAATTAAACTAGAATGATGATATGATATTTATTTTGTTACATATATACCATCTCTAATAATCTATTTATTGCTTTTATAATGTTGAAGGTTGTTTCACATCAGAGTTTATGAATTTCATGGCTTCTCAAAGGAAATACTCAAAATCTGATTCTGGAAATATTTACAACACAAGTAGAGTTATAGAAG